CCTTTTCCCTGTCCAATGGCAGGCCTCCTGCTGCACTAATATTTAAATTAATTGGTCAGGGAAAATCCTCCCACGATATATCTTTATACAGAATTTACATCTAAATCAGTAAATGGCCAGTCTTTTAATATTTTCAATGTCTTATCAAAACACAGACATAAAACTCTTTATTCTGAGGAAAAAGATAATTAAGATACAGTATTTGAGAAGAACATATAAATTCTACTAGAAGGTCACCACGATAATCAAGATGTTTTGGAAACGGCAACCCACATCCAGTAATTTTTTTCCTCATTCCAGGTTCCACAATAGCATTTACCAGCACAGATGAGTTTCTTCATCACTGTTGGTACATTAACTGAGCAGTCACCAGGGCTGGCCCTAGGTTAGTAAACATGGAGGCACTATACAGGGTTTGGATGCCCAATACCAGGAGTTTAAAAAGTACATTATACATAATAAAATTTCACTTAGAAAACAAAATACCCTTTATATTTCATACAAAAGTATCAAAGGTGGGTATAAATTTTTATTTTTTAACTTGTAGACACACAGCAAATACATATTTATTATATATCTATATAGATGGATACAGTACACATATATATACACACATATGTATGATGCTATCTGTATATCTGACATAAATATGTATATATACTATCTGTATATCTGATATAGATGCTAGAAATGCAGTAGGAAAACAAGTGTTGGTCAGTCTTCTAAGAATTCAGAATGTAGTAAAAAGAGCAGATATTAACAAAACCCATGGTAATTTTTCTCGAAATTAGAAGATACTGTTATAAGGAAGCAATATGAAGTCAGTCCATCATTGGTAGGTATCTTGTATGCACAGACCTTGTTCAAGAAGCATCTAAGGAGCACTAGCAGTGTCTGGGGAACTACAGAGTGAGGGTTTGCACATCACCTCTGGCTCCGATGTAGAAGAAGAATGTCAAGCACTTTGAGTCTAACAGTGAATGCGGTGGGGCGGGGTATGGCTTTATTTTTCAATTCTACCACCATGCCTCCAGGGCCCTATATAGCTCCTAGGATCCAGCAAATAATTTATGTATGTCTGAATTAATAATGTAACTCTGAATAAAGGATATCTACCTTGTCATATCTACCCTTCTTGTGTGGTAGAGAGTACACAGAAATGTAACTGATGGAGGAAAAGTAAATCCCTAAGTGAAATGGCTGTTCTACTTGCAAACAAGTGACAGAGAGAGAGAGAGAGAGAGAGAGAGAGAGAGAGAGAGAGAGAGAGA